TGAAATCAAAGCGAGCCCAGAGAGAAAGGCCTTTCTCAGGAGGCAGGGGGGCTTTTTTTTTTTTTTTTTTTTTTTTTTTTTTTTTTTAGTGCTGGGTTTCTTCTTGCAGCAAGAACGGCTGCTGTTTTGTTCTGTCTGGTTCCCAGTGTTCTGAATGAGGGAGCTTCCCACCTCCTCCCCCCCCATGGTGGGGGGGAAAGCCATTCTCTAATTCCGCAGTTCTCTTTGCCAGGAAGTCTTCTCTGATACCCATCTTGTGTTTTCCCTTCTTCAGCTGTCTCTTGTTTCAGCCAGATAGCCTGTGTTCCAAAGACCTTGTTCTCTCTCCCTCTGGGCTGAATGCTGTTCCTCACCTTCTCTTCCTGGATTCTTTGTAGTAAAACTCCTTTCAGAAGGTATCTGATCCTTGGTTCTGGAGATGGCCAAGGTTGCCTTGCTGGTTCCCATTGCCCTATTCTGCTTCCATCTTTCTGTATATGTGAATGCAGAACAGATAGACTTTACTTCAAAGTAAAATTGGGTGCAAAACAACATTTTCACAGCTTTTATACCCTCTCTTCCTCCAGTGCCCCTAAAACATAATGCTCTTGAGTGCGTCTTCAATAGGCATGTCTTAAACTTGGCAATGCACATAAACACAGAGCTTAGATTTTTTTTTATCTAGAGAGTACAAATCATAGGTATGCCAATAGTGCTGGTAAAATGCAGTATAGTGTTTGATGCACACTTAACAATTGTAATGAAAGTGTTGTGAATATATTGAACATTTATTTTACTAAGTTTATATACAAGGGTGCTCATCGCCCCATTGATTATAAAGACAAAAACACTGAAATAACCAATATATTCATCGATAGGGGATTAGAACTCAGAAATTTTCACTAACAAGTGATATATATTACTTTATCAAGGCAGAATGCAAAGGTTTGCTATAATCCCAATTTCATATCTATATGTGCTAGGAAAATGTATAGTATATATAGATTTAAAATGTGGGGTGTAAATGTATCCAAACAGTAACATTTTGCTGGCACATGACCTGCCTTAGTTTCTTTTCTGGTTGTGAGGAAATAGTCTGACAAAAGGAGCTTGGGGGGAAAGGCTTCAGTTTTGTTCACAATTCCAGATTACACTTCATCACTCTGGGTGAATCACAGTGGCAGAGGCTTGAGACAGCTGGTCACATCACATCCACAGTCAAAGCAAATGGAGAATAGATTCATGCATGCTCACTCGCTTACTTGCTTGTGCTCAGCACCAATTTCTCTGCTCTTACTCAGTTCAGGAGCCTCTGCCTAGAGAATGGTGCCACCCACAGTGGGCTGGGTCTTCCCACTTCAATGAACTTAATTAAAACAATCCTCTTTGGACATGCTCGCAAGCCAACCCACTACAGACAAGACTTCATGGAGACTCTCTTCCAGGTGAGTGGAGGATTTGTCAGGATGACAATGAAAACTAACCGCCATGTGGTCACCTTCATCATTAGAGGATATTCTTTCAGTTTGTTATTCCCAGACTTGGCATGTTTTATAATCCAAGTCTCTACAAAATAGACTGCCTAATTTATGTTGAAGAATATTTATCACTTGAGTTGAAAAATAGACTCAGGCTAAGCTCCTGCGAAGCCCTGCTGCTTTACATTTAACACCTGGGCAGACTTTTATGTTTGTTGAAGGAAGATATAAAAAACGACTGGCTTAGTAAGTAGTGTTTGGCAAGCTGTCAGGACATGATCATGTCCTTAGACCGGAGGACCCAGAGCCGGTCTCGTGGCCCGTTGCTGGCTTTCTGCTTCTGAGCTCTCTCCATGTCTGTTCTTGGTGTACACTCAGAGTCATGTTTTTTTTTTTTTTTTTGTTTTTTTTCCTCAGGGAACATCCTGTCATCTCCTTTATACCTTTATATAAGTAAGAGGGATAACTTACGGATTTTAAAATCAATGTATCTCCATTTGAACTGTAGCTTTGGTGATAAAGACTTTTATGTCTCTAAGCACAGGAAAAGTCAGATTGAATGTTTCTGTGGAATTGAAGCTCATATTTAGACGACATCCTGGGTAAACGTCACTAAAAGGTTAAGCTAGAGACCACACAGCTGGCATCTGGCAGAGGCTCTAGACTTCTCACTTCATATCTTAAACTCCTGTCATACCTCTAACATGTGGCCTCTTGCAGATCAATCTTCTTGTCTTCAAAGTAGTTTTAATAATAAGGGATTGGATGATGTCAGTATATGGAGCTTGAGATGTGTTCTGTTTTCAATGATGGTCACCTTGAACAGTGAAACTGAAGAGGTTGACTTAGTACTAGAACTGGAATTTCAGGGCACTGGTTCCTAGATTGGCAGACTCTCTCTCTAGCCTCCATGATACTTACCATGGTTATGTCAATGAAAGAAAAGATTGAGAGATAAATAGTAAATGTACTACTCCCCCTTTTTCCTTTTAAAATATTATTTCAGGTTCAAGTCCAAACTTGAACTTTCTGTTTCTGGTGGACTCTCACCTCTCTTCCAAGTTACCCAACTTTGCATTCACTTTCATATCGTGAGAGATAGTCCTAAATGAAAGAAGTGACTGATGTTTACAGTTTCAAAAGTGAAACCATATGCCAAATGGTTTTCTGAAAAGCTGAGGTCTGAATTCTCTATGATAATTTTTCAGCCTTTGTCTTATCTGAAATATTTAGAACATATGAGCAGCATGATCAGGGGCTGTGATAGTTCCACATTTCCCAAGCCCAGTGAGGTATCCACTGTTGGGTCAAGATGGGTGACTGCCAGCTAGAGAGTCACTCTCCCTCAGCCTACAGTTAGTATAGGAGGCATCGGCTATCTCATCTCCAAATAGGAGGCATCTGGGAAGGCATGTGTTGCAAATGAACCATTGTAAATAGGTCAGATGCCCTTCCTGATATGACCCAAAGTAGTGATATTTCTGTATAGCTAACACAGCTTTCTTCATTTTTTAAAATCCCTTTTTCCTGCCAAGCCTGGGATGACTGGAGTGGTTCTTCTGGCTCCCACAATGACTCCACACTGCAATGTACTTTGTGTCTGCTCTGCTGACCTTGGAATACAGAGTCGGCTTTTAAAGATTTCACTGTTTGCTTCGAGCTTCATGCTGGGTGCCTGCTGTGGACCACATTTCTAATGTTTTTCTAATGATTTTTTCAACTACTTCCCTGAAAAAAAAATGTCCATTTCTGAAATCATCTGTTGATAATTAGGGTGGCCAGCTACTTGTCTTCTATTATAAGGCCTACATCAAGATTTCATGCTCAGTAGTGTCAAAACTTTGTTTTATAAAAGGGCACAGGTTCATTTGGAGGGGTTTTGAAGGAGGTTCCGTGGTCTATGTATTCTTAGTGAAGTTGCCAATGGTGATAACTATTGAAATTTGTAAAGTGATTTATAGATCAAAAATAAGATCATAGCGTTGGGAGCTGATTCACAGTGTAAAGTGCATATCGTGCAAGGATTGAGACATGAGTTTGGATCCACAGAACCCACATAAATGCGGATGTGGTGGCACTTGTATGGAATCCAGCACTCCTGTGGTGAGATGGGAGACAGACAGAAGAATCCTCAGAAGCTCACTGGCCAGTTAGTCTAATATAGACAGAATGAATAAGAAACTATGATTTCAGGCTGGAGAGATGTATCAGGGGTTAAGAACCGTGGGTGCCCTTTCAGAAGATCTGGGATCTTTGCACACATATGACAGATCACAACCAAGTGTGACTCCAGCTCAATGAGATCACAACCTCTTCAGAACTCCACAGGCACTGTACCTACATGGTGCACAGATTTACATGCAGGTAAAACACCCATACACACAAAAGAGAGACAGAAAGACAGGGTTACTGCATCTGAAATAAGGTGGAAGGTGAGGACTAACACCTGAGGTTGTCCTCTATGTGCACACCCTGGCACATGCACAGCATGGTACACCCACACCCTGGCACATCCACACTATGATATAGGCATACCCTGGCATATGCACAGCCCGACACACCCACACCATGGTACAAGCTCATCATGGCTCATATAAACCATGGCACAGATACATGCAGACCCTAGCCTGTGTGCTCCCATAATCACACATAGGTTCACACACACACACACACACACACACACACACACACACACACACACTGTACATTCCTATACATACATCCACGAAGATAAAAAGAAAAGCAAAACAACCTTAAAAAGTCAACTTTATTAGTAATTATCATTAGTAATTTATTTATCAGAATTTCCTAAGTATCTATTCTGTACCAGGTGCTCAAGACTTAACTATTAGCAAGGTATGGTTCTTTCTAGTCTTACTAAATTTGTAAATCACTTATTTAGTTCTTATAACTCTGTGAGGTAAGATGAAATTTTTCAGAGATGACTAATTAAACTCTGAGAGACAGTGCTGTTTTATTTTATTTTTAAAGGGCAGAGTTCACTCACAGACCCGACTTCCTTGCTCTAAGCTTTGGCTCTTTCTTGGAAACACAGGCCCTAGGCTCAAACATCTGTCCAGCTGGGCCAACCAGTAGCTGAGGAACTTTGTAAACTTCTTTAGACTAAAATTAGAAAAACACTCTACATTCCCGTGAGAAGGCCATAGACTCTGCAGGTGAGACACACTGTACACTGCCAGGCACATACTAACACTCAACAGATATATTGTGATAAGAAGAATGATTATGTTGTAGCTACAGAATAAAGCTTGCTAACTAGACACTCCCGAACACAGGACCCTTGAGAAAAATATCCTGTTTAAAGTGCAGTGATGTCCAAGGAGATATGTCCATTTCCATCCCCATTTTCACAAGTCACCATGGAAAATATAAAATATATCTTAACTGAATAATTGATATATTCCATAATAAATACTTGTTCAGCAGTTACCATGCATCAGACACACAGGTGGGCACTGGGGGTCTCCATGGAAGAGGCTGATTTTCAGAACAGTGGTGCAGGCATTTTCAATGTCAGCATTTATATATGAACACAATTGCAAAGTCACAAAATTGGCTTGTTGTTACCTGGTTAAGTGGCAGAGTCAGGGTGCCGAGTCCCTCGTCAACAATTCTGGACCTGCTACTATTTCTTTCTATAGTAAGAAGGGCTCTTTTTTTCTGGACTCAGCTTCCTTTTTTTGGTGAAAGGATGGAAGTGGTTGTAGAATCCCTTCTATGTTGAGCAAATCTGAAACCCTATCTTACTATAATTATAATTTATTCAGAGGTGTCTGAGCAGGAAAAAAATGAAGTCAAAAGGAACAGACTAGATGAGAGGTGACATGGGAGATTCTATGTTTCAGTACGGAGCTATTCCATAGACGGGCAGTCACCTGCTCCTATGACAACTATAAAGTGGTTTACTTTCTTTTCCCCCACTGCGTGCTGTGGTTTGAACATGAAATGTTCCCCATTGGCTCATGTGTGTGGACACGTGGTCCCCATCCCGTAGTGCTATTTGAGAAGGTTGTGGGACTTAGGAGGTGGAGCCTTGCTGGATGAAGGACATCATTTGAGGTTTTATGGCCTGGCCTCATTTCCTGTTCTCGCTCTTCCTGACTACTGATGTAATGTGACAAGCTGTCCCAAGCTTCTGCTGCCTTGCCATTTCTACACCATAGTGGACTCTATCCCTCTGGAATAACAAGTCAAAGTGAACCTTTTCTCCCTTAAGTGGCTTTTGTCAACATATTTATCATAGCAACATAAATAATAAAATTAATACAGTACCTAATAACATGCACACCCAAAACCCTTCTTTGCTTACAACATAAGTATGTATCATAAACTTTAGCATCAGCTGCTAACATGAGGTGTTTATAAAGCAATCAGTGTGTGCTAAACTGGCTAAAATTATCTAACATTCTACGGACAATGGCACCAAGCACCAACCGCTCACTTATCATAAAGTCATCGTTGTTCAAGTGTGATTTCTGTTACTGTGATTAAAAACACGTTGCTGAAAAGCAATGTAGGAGAGGAAAGGGCTGATTTGGCTTATACTTCCAAGTCATAGTCTGTCACTGGAGGGAGTCAGGGTAGACACTGAAGCAGGAACTTGAAGCAGAAGCCACAGAGGAACCTTGGGTGCTGGCTTGCTCACAGGCTCATTCTTAGCTAGATAGATCTTCCCAGGGAATGGTGCTGCCTACAGTGGGCTTGGTCCTCCTGCTACCTCAATTAATAATAAAGATAATGTTTCATCATTCATTCATTCATAAATATATTTCTTGCCTTTTCTACAAATTTCTTGAAGTCCTGTCACTAAGGTACCTATTTGCCATACAATGACCCCGAGTGCCAACCAGGGGTTGTGGACCCATCACTCATGTCCTATGGTTGCTTTGGATCTCAATGCTACAGTCTCATCTTCAATATGTATTGAAATGAAGTAGCAAATTTTTTTTTCTTGGTAACTTACCTCACTGATTAGTATCTATAATTGGCCTAGGGTAAGACACCGAGTCTCGATACACAGCATCAATCAGTGTGAACTGGTAGCTTTCATTCTCTCCTCTTGTGGGATAGGTGGGCTATGAAAACACTCAAGCTCAGATTTTGCTGGCTCTTTTTTCCTATGCTGCTGTACACACCCCTCTCTCCCTGTAATGTTCCAATGGGCCTTGAGAATATAGCGAATGTTGTTACTATAACCTCCATCTAACTCTTTCTGGGCTCTATGCCTTTTCTGCTCGTTATCCCCCACAATGCACTGAATCTCTGATGTGCCCAGCTACTTGGTGACAACAGAGGAAAGTGATGTCACACTCAGAGAGACCTTGAACATCACACTTCTACAGGGTTTCTGGAGAAAGGTTTCTTGCTCCTGTGCTTAAGAACTTCTTGCTTTTAGTGATGGGAAGGGTGACTCCTGGATTGTTTGGGAAATGGGTAACAGATAATAGAGCTGTCTTGTCCCTTTCTCTTATCCAGTGTTCTCAGCTATCCACTCAGGCAGTTAGAGTTACCAGAAGATGCCTGGGCTGAGGTAAATTAATGGTTTCCAAGTCCATCACTATCACATTACCACACATATCCAAGTAGATCTCACTTGGCCTCAAGTTCCAGCCTTGAGAATGCCTTTTTAAATGGACAATAAACTATTTAAACCCACTTTAAGGACAGCCACTGGACTATAATATTGATGATTGACCACCTCTCACATATTAAAGAAATGATGCCTCTGTGTTGGCTGAGAAGTGAGAGGAGCTAGAACATCTCTGAATTTCAGCATGACGAAACAATGGGGGTAGAAAAAATGAACTGTTTTGTACACAGAACAAATGGGACTTTCTCTTGATGTCCATCTGTGAAATGCCTCATTGTTGTGGTAGAGGGGCAATCATAGAGGAACTAGAGAAGTCTAAATCATACATTCATCGGTATTCATTCCACCTAAACCTGCAAATTTCCAAGAACAATTAAGAACATACCAATTGTAAGGTAAACTAAAGGAGAATGTTCCTCCCAAACACTGTGTTCTCCTTCCGGTAAACTCCACTTTTGAGAGATGTTCATGACGACATACTGACTTCTCCCAGGATCCACATGGGCTGAGCAGATTGGTGGTGGTGCTGACTGTACCACGAAGGAGAGGATGAAAATGACAGCTGCTCATGATGAGCAAAATCATCACTCAGGCAGTCACCAGCGAAAGCCTGGGGTGAATACCCTTAAAACCCAAGAATCCATTTAAAAGCTAATTGCTTTTGACATTGGAAACACACACCATGGATTTCATGTGGATGACTTCCCTTTGAGGTCTACAGCATTTACTGCTGGGCAGCAGATGTTGCTCAACTGCAAAATATAATTGAGAAGATCCAAATCGTTAGAGCTGGACAATGAGAACCAATCATGAGGAGTCAGGAAGTGAGACGAATCTAACAGTTCCACCGTATGGGAAGACTCAGCCAGTTTCCCCAGAATTGTATCATGACACCCAGACATCCCCAGACACTCTTGTGGTGCCATCCACTCCAACCATCTATGGTAAAATGCAGAATTATTCTGGAGTAGAGTGCTGTTCCCTAGGAGCATTTTTTGGGGCAATATTTAGCTTTTATGTTTCTTGTTCTGTCCTTTGTTGTTGTTGTTGTTGTTGTTTTTAACTTTTCATCTAACTTTACATGTCTATAGAATCAGTGTTTAAATATTACAAGTTTAATCCTGGAAGTTGTGTGGAGATTCTGACTTTTAGATAATGTTTCTGGAGTTCTTGGGCTGCCTCTTGTCTGTGAAGATTCTGTTGTCAGGAAGGGAGCTGGAGACCGTTTTTAGCTGTTAGACTTCTTTGCTCTCCCCATGTGTGTTGGTCGCCTGTTCAGAGAGCCTGCACTACTTCCTCCAAGGCAACCTGGTATCACTTGGCTCCCACACCTCTTACCTGCGACTCTTTCATGGGATGCTATGATACTATTGGAATTTGTGTGTATCTTGTTGAAGACTGGGTTGCTGATCATTTTGCAACTGTGAACAGGTTGTTTTTGCTTGTTCTACAAAATTTGGAAGGTCTACTCAAGCATTTCTATTTGTTGAGTAGAAAAAGAAAATACAGTGTAAATATGTGCCTGGGGTGGCTACAGACTAAGTGTTCACTGAAGTTTGAAAACTTTTTGCAAAAATAAATTGAATTCTTATTTCTTTCTGGAGTGGTGATGATGCCATTCCTTGGAGAATAATGCACTAGTATAGTTAGAGATTTAGTTATTTGGAAAGAAAGTAAAATTGATCATTTTTCCATGAATTATAGTCTTTTTAATAGTTGGTGTGCCTAAGGTTTGTGCATTGATTTGGTTAAACAACTCATTCAATGTCATATCAAAATGTTTGCAGAACTATAAGAGAAAGACAAGAAGGCGAGAGAAAGAGAGAGAGATACACAGAGAGACAGAGACAGAGAGAGAGAGACATCCAGAGAGACAATACCAGGGAAGGACGCCTTTTCCTTTGCGAGTGCTCCAGCCTCCACACCACCACTCAAAGCTTCCGAGTCTTAAATTTGCTTTCCATTAAGACGGTGGTTAGACGGCAGCTGGTGAACCTCTTAAGAGAATACACGATATGGTAATAAACATCATTTCAGAAATAGGCTTTCTGCTCACTTTACTAGGAAGCACAATAATGAGCTCTGCATGTTCTCTACACTTTTTGCTCCAGACCCTTGGTCTTAAGCAGGGGGCCGAGGGGCGGGACTCGCCGCAATTGGTTCCCTTCCTACCTAGCAAATGGAAATGTTTGTTTTGTCTTTTCGGTTCCAGCCACCCCTGACCATGCAATGTGCTGTAAAATGTCCTTTGAAGTTCATGTGTCATCCATTTGCTGCAAGCGCCAAGGTTGGCGTGCTGCATGCACTCTTCTTTTCAATTGTCTTTGGTGCCCCAGTTCCTTTGGGGAAGGTTCAAGTCTGACAGTCCCCTTCCCTTGTGGTATAGAACGCCATGCATGATGCTGGGTTCACCAGATGGAGTCTGGATTTTTACGGCTGCTAGCTCACTGTTTGTGTAGGAAAGCCAATTTATAGGGAACTCGAAGGGTGATGATTTTAATGCAAACAAATGTCTCGAGAAGGGCTTCCTGGATGTTTCATGCTATGTGCTCAGCTGGCTGTGTGAACAATTGATGTGGCTTCTCTTTCTCCACAGCAGCAGGCAGCCCTGGGGAAAGTTGGGAGAAGACAGATGTGGCTCAGGACAGTTGTTTATAAATACAGATGTGTGTTGGGAAGGAAAAGGAATTAGAATTTAAGGGTATCCTAACGCATTCTTCACTCTGTTTAGGGACTCACAGAGGCAACCAGAGCTGCCACACACACCAAATCTTAGATGTTGCAAGTAAGTATTCATTTGAGCATGTTCTCTCTTTTATGTGGGCATGGCACTTTAAAATTGGTAAGACGTTTAAAAAAATCAAGTTCTTTCTCATTCATTTAATTCTTATAACTCTGTTGTGATATTGATGTTATTACTTCTAGCTTCTAAATGAGGATATAGTTTAGCTTTAGAAAAGATAATATTGGCATCAGATCCCCTTGTTGCCTCTTGCCTAATCTCCTTAGGAATTAAGGAGGGCAATCTGCAGAGTACTTGAGTGTCGTGCCTAGAACATGATAGGAGCTCAACAAATAGTTTTCTTGCCCCTTTCTTTCCACTCTCTTTTTGCTAGCTAGGTAGCTTAATGTCAGGGAAAGAGATTAAAGTTAAGTATTATTTATATGTTGAATTATGTCATAGGTTTATTAGACTAAATTCTGTGGGTGGGTGGGTGCATGCGTGCGTGCGTGCGTGCGTGCGTGCGTGTGTGCGTGTGTGGTGTGTGTGTGTGTGTTTTATGTGGAGGAGGTTAGAAGACAATTTCCAGTGTTAGCTCTTGGGAATAGTGTTCATTTTATTTTGAGACAAGGTCTCTTTTTGTCAGGGAGGTTTTTTTAGCTATTAAGTTGGGCTGGCTGGCCAGTGATCCCCAGGGATCTACCTAGTTCTTCCTCCACAGTGCTGGGATTGCAAGAATGGGCCACCCTGCCCAGGGTTTGGGTATGGAACTCAGGTATTCATGCTTGGAAAGCAAACATGTTACCAGCTGAGCCATTTCCCTAGCCCTAGGCTTGGTTCTGATAATGATTAGAAGGTTACAGACTGGAGCCTATAAAACCAAAGGGCAAAATTAGTCTTTGAAGAGAAACAACCAACAGGGATCCAAGTCATGTAAAGGATACCACTTTAAAATTCTGCAGGTAACAGTCACGGATGATTTGATGGCATCTTTAGCCAATTACTCTTCCTAATTTTGAGCCTGCTGTTCACCAAACTCAAATGTTGAGCCTTTACCTATAGTGGAATCATGTAAGTAATCATTATCTACTAAGGAAACTAAAAATTCTTTTGTCAAGCCCTTCCTTAAACATAACGAATGTGACTTGTTTAAGATTGAAGGTCGAGTTGAACTAGACCAGCCCTTTGGGCATGTCTCTTTACTCTCACATATTCTTTGTTCTTCTTACTTGTTCACTGATGCCTTTTCCATAGGTAGTATTGTTAAATTCACTAGTTCAAGAGTTAAGAGAAGTCGTTATAGATCACAGATTTCACTTGGATCTTGATTCAAGCAAAGAATTTTTAAATGATAAAGTTTAAGACCTGGCTATAAATTGAAACACCGGGAAGATATTAAAAATATATTATTCTATTATTAGACATCATGAAATTGTGGTTATATTAATAAAAAGTTAGAGCTGATCATTCAGAAACTCATAGTGAAATATTGTGCTTCAAATCATACAGTGAGCCGAAATGAGATATACTTTAAATTATAAATGGTTGAGTTGAGAGATGGGTACATGAGGCTTTTTTCTGCTGTTGTATTTGGATATTTTAAATTCTCCACATTTATAGAGGAATATATGACTAGTTATCTTTCTGTTTCCACTGCTAGGCTTTCTATTTTGTCTCCTGATCATTGCAGAGGACTGGATATTGTTATTGGTATGTTTTATTTAGAAATACATCAAATCCACAAAACTGAAGTTGTCTTCCTTCTTATTTTGAGTGTTAGAAAGTTTAGAGTCAAATATATGGCCAACTTTAATAATTCATTTATCCCTTCATTCAACAGATTTAAGATAATGTCAAGATGTCTCTGCTCTCTGCCAAGTAGTACGTGAGTGGGAAATCTAGAGAATTCAGTTTGGAGGCTATCTGATACTGTGGATAAAATCTCATGAAGGACTGAGTAGGCAACCTAGTTAGTTCAGTCTCCAGAACCCACATAAATAGCTGGACATGGTGGATCATCTTTGTGATCTCAGTACTGGGAGACAGAAAGGCAGGTTCCTGGGACTGCTTACAAGACAACCTAGCATCCGAGACAAGTTCCAGGTTGCAGAGAGACCTGCTCTCAAAAAGCGGGAATCTCCTGGGGAATGACATCTGAGTTTGTCTTCTGGCCTCCACACACATATATGTGCACTTCCACACATGAGAACACACATACTACACACACACACACACACACACACACACACACACACCATGAGTTAGTATATGGGGGCTTATACAAATTTTTATCTTTGAACATTAGCACATGCATCTGTACAAAGGTGATAATAGTGTAATCGACCTTAGAGCTAAGGTCACATAAGAACACTTATTTTAATGTTTAAACCACTATTCACCCCACCCCAACCCCCTGAGAACCAGGATCTAGAACATTTAAACTAGACTTCCTGGAAGGAGGCCAGGGGGGCATTTCTGTGGTCTTCTGATTTCACCATGCTTTGTATTTTCTTACTGCATCATATTTTTTAAAAATCAAATATTTAAGATTTTTCCTTCTCTTGATCTATTTTATATATTTATATAAACAATCATAAATTCTTTTTAGAGTAAAGTATGGTATAAATAGATGATAACTGTCTAGGCATGATGCTCATGAAAGTTGTTGAGGACTAGTCAATTAAAATCATATTTAAAAACAGTATTGTATTAAAATGAGTAGGTTTAAAGAAAATACATAAAGCTAGCATTAAAAATAATTTCAGTTAATATATAGTATCAATATCACATGCCGTGACTTTGACATTTTTACTGTGACTGTGTTCAAAAATAGTCTTCCTCAAAAAGATGCACGCTGGAGTTTAGGGATGAAGGGACATGCATCTTCAACTCAAATGTCAGAGAACGAAAGAAAACAAAAGAGAAAATACAGACATAATCAATGAATCCGTTTAAAGTCTATGTGGCAAGTCTTTGGCCTCCCTGCCCCTTTTTAAAATAACATTTCTCCACGTTTGAAATTACATGAAAATGAAAACATCAACCTGGTAGTGACAGACGTTTTAAATTTAAAATGGAAGAATATTTCAGAATAGAACATGTTTTTTTCCTGACTTGTAGTCACTGTTGAAGATCTGCTTCTTTGTGCATAGCTAGAAAAAGGAAAACACGGGGGAACACAGGTGTGCTCTGACATTCAATGCCAAGCTTAATTAGGAAACAGACCATGAAACAAGATGCAGGACAGGTCATGAGCATAACACTGAAGGCCAACTTATGTCTTGATGGTGATGTCATGATTACCATAGAACAGTTACAGGAATTGTCCATTTCACAAATCATAGAGTCTGAAGGTAGGCACGGACCATAACTGTTCTTTCTTGCTCACACTGCACAGTATTGTGGTAACAAAGCTGTAATCATCCTTCACTCAAGGTTAACTGTGATATTTGTGCTGGAGAGAGACAAAGGGCATCATCATCCCTCACAACATTCCAAAAGCCAAACTCCTTGCTTACATTGCAACCCATGTGAGACTACAACCTGAGAGGTTTTCTCAAGGTTGTCTAATAACCTGACTTCTTTTTTCACCATTGGAAAGATAGCTGTGAGAATGATATCATCACTTTCAACTGAACATACACATTGCCACTTGGTTCTCATTTTACCATCACTGTGCATAGGGACATGCAGCGGGTGGTCTTCAAGGTTAGGATTATTTGAAAAGAAAAAAAAAACTGTAAAACTGACTGCAAAAAATTAGAGCCAAGTCTTAGACACTACAGGTAAGGATTTTTTTTTTCTTGAAAAATAAACTAGTGGTGCTTTCAAATATTTCTTGAAATGTTGATTGTATCATAAACAAGAAATAAGAATCTATTGTATACAGTGTACTGTAGGACATGTCAATGTATGGTTTTCCTTATGTAGTTGAATCTTATGTTTACTTAATTTTTGCATTTAAATTGGAGATGAAGTAAGAAAACAAAGACCTCCTCTTCTTCCAGGATTGCTACCTGCTTATTTGAGTTTACTCTTCCCTGCTTGGTTTAATAATGTCACCTTTACATACATTAAACTCCCATGTAATAGATGTATTTTAGACACCATATATTTTATTTCATTAATATGCTTGTCTACTTGGGCGTCAGTATCACATCATCTTAAGCATTTCCATTTCTCTGTGTGTTGTGATTTCTAATGAGAATTCCTCTTTGCCACCTTTGCTGTTTCTTCTTCAAGGTTTCTAGACCTTGGCTATGGACGTCCATTCTATTTTATTTGACTAGCATACATGACGCTAGAGCTCCTTAGGAAGAATTACTGTGGGAGACCAACTCCCATATTCCACCCCCCCCCCCAGGGTACTCTTGAGGAAGGAGAGGTGAGAAATATTTAGATAGAAGGATAGAGGGGGAGAGAAACAGATAGAAACACAGGATAGCCTTGGGAGGGCCTGGATCCTTATCCACTGGCCCCTTCTGTCTCTTCTAAAGGGCTATTTATAGGAATGCCAAGGGTGGAGCAAAGACCTCCCTCTAGCTCAGCCAAGTGTAGACCCTTCCCATCACTTAGTAACCATGCACATGGTCAAACAATCATCTAATGCAGCCCTGCTGGGTAAAGCAAGCTCAGATCTCACTAGGAAACCTTTGTAGGCCTCCACAAATTACGTCTACCCAAAGAGACAAAGTAAAAAGCAGATGAGAAAGTCTACAGGATGAAAGGAAGATGATGCCACTGGCTGTGGAAATCCAGAACCAGGGTGTTCATATAAATGGCCGCTGTTAGCCCGAAGTCTTCCCTGTTTGCTGCCTCATCAATTATCCATCTAGGTATTGAGTATCTGAAGGTAGAGATGTATACTCAGATTATATCTTATTGTTTCTCCCCCATTCTGAACATAAGGTTGAAAGTTCTAAGCTGTTTTGTGTCTACTTACTCAAGCTCATGACTTGAGTAAGTAGATAAGTTATTTTTGTGCACATGGGCGTGTGCACTTGCATGTGCGTTGTATGAGCATATGCTCATGTGGATGGAGGCCAGTGGTGGTCGTTGGGTGTCTTCTGCAATTGCTCTCCACCTTCTTTTCTTCACTTGAGATCTCTTACTGAGGCTGGAATTCACGGATTCAGCTAGGCTGGCTAGTCACAAACTTCAGGGATCCACCTTCTCTGCCTAGTCAGTGCTGGGATTATGGGTTCACATTGCCATGCCCAGCCTTTAGTGTGTTACTGGGGATCTGCACTGAGGTCTGCATATTTCCATGAAAGCATTCTACTCATTAAGCTATCCTCTTGGCCCCTTGAAGGTATTCTTCTGATTGACAATTCAAAGAATTCTCTGAATAATGAGAACAACACTAGGAAAGGAAGTATATAGAGTTTTCTGAACAATTAATAAACTAGGTTACAGAAATGATGATTGAGTAATAGTATTGAAACTGCTTAAGAATTCTGTGGCTGTCTAGGTGAATTGAACCTGGGTCTGTAGATATCACGCCTCCCTTCTGTTTTTGAGCTATTTTTGGCTCTCACACAGGCCAGTAGAGTATTTTATTTTCTAAAGAGTATCTTCCATTTCCTGTATTAAAATATCATAGGTTACTGAGGTAGGATGGGAAGAAAGTCTGTGCACAAGAAGGTAGTTAAAATATGTGATGGGAGTAAATCGCTTCATAGCCTGATGGTGGGGTGAGGGGGGGCAGATTTGAAAAATAGCAGAAGATTCAGAGGTGAATCCAATAATTCTTCCCTCAAAAATGATGCTCCACACCTTTCCAGGGAAGGAACCACTGCTGGTGTCTTTGTGTTTTATGGAATCTAATGGTGCCATTTGGCATACAATGTTTTAATGATACTGCTGAGTGGTAGAAATACCTGAAGAAAAATGGAGTATGAGACAGAAAAAAAGAGCACAATAAGGGAATATCCAGGAAATATAGTGGGGGTACCCATGTTTGTTTCTGATGACAAAAGTAGAAATAATCAAAGGAGACCCCCTGTGTGTCCTGGATTCTTCTAGAACAGACCACCCTGTTATTTAATCATCTCGGGCCTATGTCCCAGGGA